ATAACTTTGTTATGCATGTTATTAATACTGTATCCAGGTCTTCAGTCTAGAATAAGAAGAAGAGAAAAAAAAAAAGACCCATTTCACACTGCCCCCTAACATGGCGAAATACACAAACCATGGACAGAAATTAAAGCAGCGCTGTTACTAAGGCAGTTTTTCAGGTTTTTTTTTTTGGCTACAGAGAAAAATGAAAGGATTTTTTTTTTTTTGGACTGTTTACATTTCCACTAGGGAACCAAACTGGAAAATGCAGCATCCAGGCAGGGTGGGTGTGTTTTTTTTTTGCTATGAGCTTTTATTCCCAAGACAGAAATAATTGCAGACCGGCAGTAATCAGTGAATTCACATCTGCCTTTACTATACAGTACACTGCTTGGCTAAAACCAATGACAAGCTTAACCTAAATGATGATGGTGGTGGTGGTGGGGGGAGTGTGTTAATTAATCCCCCTTCTTACTGGCAGACAGTGGAAAGGGTTAAGAATTTTGAACACCCCCGCTCCCCATTTAAATCTCGAGGTCTGCCAATCTTTTTTTAGACCTGTCACCTGCAGCTGAAATCGCCATAACGCATTGCAGGAGATGGGCCCTGGAAAGCAGGAGGCGGGCGGAATCCCAATCGCAGAATATCCGCCAAATGTTGCGTAAACTGTTGTATCACAGTAAAATATTTTCTGCACCAATTAACAAATACATAAATATTTTCACAATAATTTTTCTCATCTGGTGTGTTTTTTTTTTTTTTGCCAGGTGCAACAGGCTTACTCATCAAAACATAATTTAATTTCTTTTTATTTTTACCGTTTTCTAATACGGTTTTTAGTAAGGCTAAATTAGCGTGCTTGATGTTTATAGGAAAGTTTCTTGTCATTGGCAGATGCACAAATAGTTGTCTGACTTAAAAAAAAATTTAATGGGTTGATAGATAGATTATTTATATATATATTTTGTATTTTTTTATCTAGACTAAATATGTGGCACTAGTTTTAGCTTGGGTAATGTATAGTAATATCTTAAGCTTGATAAGCTATCAGCATCAGCTGTTGTGCACTCCAATTATAAATCCAGTTTTGACAGTCCGTTATTGTAGATTCCCCCCCGGATTATCCCTTATTTTAATAATCTGCCATCTAAATCTGCTAATAAACCAGCAGCCGATTGGCCGAGGCTAAGCACGATCTTCAACACGCCACTATGGGCAACCGAACCCATTTCAGATCACGTACTGTACCTAACGGAGAATGGGAGTGGAAAGTAGGACGGACGTCATGGCTATACCAGGGCAAGTGGCACCTCGGTGGCTGGGGATAGAGTTAATAAGACGGCTTTGTGCCCAAACAGCAGACATCCAGATCCTCTGCTGAATATTGCACAACCTTAATCTTGGCCTAGAGGCTACACTGGCAGAGGACGGACGTTGTAGTTGTATGTACCAGAGTGTGATGAAAGGTATTTTTTTTCAGCTCTCGTGATAGTAGAAGGGATTGTTTTACTACTTCTTTTTTTTAACCCTTCAAGAATGTGAATTGACATTGATGGTGTGAAAAAACTGTTTTAATAACCAGAGAATCCAGGGTTGCGGCTCTGTTTTTTTTTGCCCTTTTGCCATGTTCTCAAAAGAGTCCTCACATTATATATCTCAGAAAGGTTTGTTGGTTTAGTACTTGTAGTGTCCGTTTTCTCAGTTTTGAAAATTAGGATTCACCCAGAATGTTTGTAACCCTAAAGAGAGTGGCAGTTGTGCCCAAAAAGCAGATGGCAAAAGACTAATCACCAGTATTGCATGTAGGCTTCCTATAGCTAATCTTTTTCCCATCACCGACTTACCATGCCTTGTCCAGCAATGTGTCTCTGTTTGGAGGTGGCCATCTTGGTAGAGGCAGGGCTTTACTTCCTCGTGTCAGAGCTTCCCTCTGTGAGGACTGGCGATCTGATGAGTGGTAGGGTAATATTCAAGAAGCAGCTGTAGAAGTAGAGAAATAAAGATCCACAGAATGACTGAAGCAAAGAGATAATTTTACTGCAAGTCCTCAGGTACAACTTCCTCTTCAGGAAATCCCATCTAAGGCATGTTCCACCAGATTTGGAAAATGTACCCTGTGCTTGAGTTTTGGTGACCACGTGAAGATTTTTATATTTCTGAATACTTTCAGTCCAGGTGACAGGAAGTGAGGGTACATCTCCCCAAGTAGGGACACAGAAACCAAAACTAGAAAAAATGTTTTTGGTTGGAGTTGTACTCTTTAAGACCATTCACAAACTCTCTCTAATTTTCAGAAACACACAAAGGCCTGCAGCCCACTCTGATGGTAACACTTGTGCTACCATGCTCTATCCAACCTGATAACTGTTCACTTCTTTTACTAGGCTTCAGTGCTACAATTCATCCTGGAAAGATAGAACTTAATGTAAGATTCAGAGAGCGGAGTGACCACTTTGGTTGATCTGAAGCAGAATTGCCATGGTGTTGCTAAATTGCATGGCTGGTTTAGGAAGACCTGGAAGACCAACTTTTCTATTTTCCCCATCCCCTCCCCCAGGAGACTTCCCGTAAGTCTTCAGGCCAGACACATGATGCACAAGGCCCTCTTTCTCTTCACCTCTTCTAATTCAGAAAGTGGTGATGGCATCAGTGCCGCACCATTACAAGGAAAATGCAGGGCACTGTGGTGGGCCCGGATGCCCTGCACCCAAAATGTAAAGCCCTCATACCGTGTTTCCCCGAAAATAAGACAGTGTCTTATTTAATTTTTTTGCACGAAATAAGACACTAGGTCTTATTTTCGGGGGATGTCTTACCTGGCTGCAGCTGTGCTCTGCCGTCCAGGGAGCCACAAACAGGTGGACGGGCATGCGTGCGGCCGGGGGGGCGTGTCTGGCAGGGGGGCGAGAGGGAGCTGCCTCTCCGCTCGGAAATTCTGTGTGTTGAGTAAGCATAAGTTCAGGTTCGGACCAAACCTGGTCCAATCTTAAGCCCCTCTGAACCTGAAAGTGCCATGGGGCCACTCGCCCAATCAGCTGTGGGCCGAGACATTCACTGCCCTGCAGCTTAACATAAACAAAAGCACAAGATCCTAGTACTGATGTAATTGACCTTTCATGGCGACATGGCCATATAAGGTAAATGTCACTGACCAAATATAGCTATGTGGCCATATAGGGTCAATAAAATGTAATTGCATCCCGTCCCTTTGCTTACGTGCAGCGACACAGGAAATTCCCGGGCCAATTGGGTGGTAGCGGAAGGAGCTTCCTGCCTTGTTTGGAATATCTCCTTCCGTCTTTGTAGGAGCTCCGGTTTAGATTGATCCAAACCTGAGCTAATCCAGGGCTAGATTTAATCTCTCTGCTGCCCCAAGGTCAGGTTCCTCAATGCGCCCCCCTACCCGCCAAACCCCCCTTCCCCCATGGAGAATGGCAGACCTGCAGGCTGCATAGAAGTGATCTTGGTGACATCGCCGAGATCACTTGTACTAAACAAGTGGCGGCGGCTTCCCCACTCTACATTTAGCTCTGCTTGCCCAAAGCAGGGCTAAATGTAGAAAACAACTACCCGCTCAGCAGATGCAGAGATATCTACAGATCTTTATGCCCTGCTCATACAACACAACATCCGGACACAAAGCAGACAGCTGTAGATGGGGATTTCTTTAAGAAATAAAAGATCTAAACCCTAACAGAATGGAATTTAGGTTGCTAAAACATCATAAACAATTGCCATTTTTACAATAAAATACATATTTTCATCTTTTAAAAAAAAAATCTTTTGTTGGATATCAACACTGCAGACCTCCTGCTTCCTCTTTGCAGCCATGTCCTGTCTACATGCACTCCAGCAACTTAATTTCACTGAAAGTGACAGCAGTGGGCCATGCCTGTTCAATGTAGGTTGGCATGACCCCTGGTAGTCATCATTGGGAAATGGGGACAGAATGTTGACACCCAGGAAGCGAACAAGGGCATTCCTGGCAGGATCAATGGGTAGTATTTAAGTTAAAGCGTCAGATTTGAGGGGATTGAAAGCACGTTTTAAAACGACATTGACACGCTAAAGCTTATATGAGATTTTAGTGACTGGTTTTACTTTAATAAGAAAAAACTGTCTGTCATTATAAAATGTGGGACAGATCTGCATAAAGCAAAGGATCACACGGGATGACTATATAAAACCTGGAGGAACTTAATGAAAAGGAAATGAGTTTTGTCATTTTGATTTTGCTGATATAGCGTCAGCATTGTATTCCTGTGCAGCTGTTTTAACGCATGTTCAAGCATTGCATGCCATGCTGTTTCTTTCATTCTCTGCTTCCTTCTGGCATTAGGGGGTCATCTGATGTCTGCAACGTATAGGT